GCTATTGGTAGGTATCATATCCATGTACCTCTTATCAAGAGGGCAATTAAAGTGTCATTCATATTCATGTACATCAAAAAAGGGTATTTATAACTAAAATAGCACCTCAGATTAAGATCAGTCAACTGCTATTAAACTAACATATTAGGGATTATTATGTAAAATTGATCCAAGCAAAGGCATGAAATCCACATCTCTCTCAGCCTCATACTTCAATCCATGTAGTTGTTGGCTTGTCGTCGTTTTGCAGGCACCCACAATCCCGTCAGCAAATCGTAAGAGGGAGAAAATAAATAAATCAAACAATAGAAAAATTCCTCGGATTGATACAATGTTGTATTGATAGCACAAAGCGTCAACTTGGAATTTACCTTGTGTGTCTTGTCTCCCATGCCGGCTCTGCTGACTAAGATTTTACAATGAAAGAGCAGAAAAATGGTCTTAGTTGCACACACAAAAACATTTATTGGGTGAAAGAACTTTGTATTGGTGCGGTAATCCACTTCTGAGCCCGGGCTCAGCTGCACCTGCCCTGACGGAAAAAATTCAAAACAAATACTAGAAAAATTCCATTCAAAAAAATGTGTGGTAGATAATTTGATGCACGAGGTTCCCTCCAATTTCCCAACTATTTGAAAATCTGAGTAGCTCTCGGCAAAAAAGACAAATTCAGGGTCTGTAAAAATGTTTAGTGTTCACGCACTGTTCTGACATGATTTGTTGTTTTTGCTGAGAGCTGCTCACATGTCCAAATGATCTAAAAATTGGAGCGAACCTTACGCATCAAATTATTTACCACACAAAAAATGATTTTTTTATTATTTGTTTTGATTTTTTTGACCAGGTGCAGATGAGCCTGGGCACCGAAACGCCGCACTCGCATTGGTGAGTGTAGTTACATCTGATAAACAGTATCGTCTTAAGAACCAACATCACATTTCTATGTAAAAAAGTGAAAAGGTAGAAGATGCTAAAAATTGCAAAAAACAACATCTTTCTTCATACATGTTTTTCGTTGGTTAACTTCCATTCTGTCTTATTTTCTTTATATTTCTAAATAGTTTAATTAATATACTTCAGAACTTAATTTATGAAAAATTTCAGAAAATTAACTGTGCATAAAAAATGTTAATACATTGTGAAAATTTGATTATGCAATTTAGGAAATGTTTGTACTGATTTGAAGAATTTTTGTTGTTGTTTGATTTATTAGTTTTCTTCCTCTTACGGTTCGTGTATCTTAAAAAATGTTTGTGATATTTTTAAATATGTT